CCCCCCCCCCCCCCCCAGTAATGGTGTTACCGGTTCTTGGTGCCATTTGATTTATAGGGGAGCCGGGAGGGACTCGAACTCTACCAATTGAAATATTTGAAGCCCCCGGTATTGCTTGTTGATGCTCAGTCATTATTCGGTCTTGTCTTGAGAGATGGTCCAAAAGTTCTCATTGTTGTGCTCTCAACATTTTCACAATAACAGCCACCGGCTCACCATCCATCTCATCAAGGGTAGGACTCCTCTCATGTCGAATTTTTCATTCTACCCGGTTAGGAGTTGACTCATTCTCAGTGAGACAGGTTTCACTAGTTGAACCTATCATGTTGATTTCCATTATGGAAATTGTCCACGGGCTCATCGTTGTAGTTTGCTCCAACATTGAGCGAGTTGTTGATGCCATTTTGTGCCATAACTGTAGTATGCTTAAAACAGAAAAAAAAACATTTAAAGCACGTTAGTATAAGATGAACAGATCAAAATAACACCACAATTGTCTATGCCTCACGGTGGGCACCAAACTTTTTACTGAAAAAACGGTACAGTTGAATTTGTACCGTGGTTTATAGATACATGGATTTAATTAATCCGATAAAATAAAGTAAAGAATAGCAAAAGAGAATAAAATAAGAACAATTGAAGAAAATACAAGCCATGGTTTTAGAATGTTCCCACCAGAATCAAGAATAAATGAAAAACCTTGACAACACTTGTATAAAGCTTGAGAGAGGGAATACTAGACTTTTACTATTAGTATTTCCTGATGTCTTACAAGAGAATGTAAGCCTCTATTTATACTAGAGCTATGGGTGTAGGATCTACCAATTAATTACCAATATTAATGTTACAATAGAAGTAATAAAAAGGTAGTAAAAGAATATTAAAGGATAATAAAGCCTAATAAAGTCCAATATAGGCTAATAAAGATGGGAGGAATTTTGGGGTTCTATAACGTTTCTGCAACAGTCATATCTTGAATTAATGCTTCTTATCCGGGCACAGATTTGTATCCGGTATCAATATCTTATCCGGCCACAGGTTTATATTCGATGTGAACATGATTGAACCACTACTGATTGACACGCGTTGCTTCCTAATTTACCCATCTTCTGAGACCGGTTTTCACCTTATACAGTAATAGGAACCTCTCACTTGGGAATTTCTTGTGTATCAAGAACTTAGGGACGATCTTTGAGATGTTAGTTTATATAACATTTGATGGGAGGGAAAAGCTTTTTATAGTTTATATGGCTGAGCAAAAGAAACTTCTGCAATTATACAAATTGATGGGATACGCCCTTGAGCACCTAATTGCTTTGTTCTTCTGGTGCCATCTAATCTGATCCCACTGTTTGGTACTATTTCTTAAAGCTTCAACATGTCAATGTACAAGTGCATTCCCTAGTTGTTTTTACCTTAGTTGATTCTTTTGCTTATATCTGTGTATCTGTCATTGAACATATTTTACTACTAAAATTCAGTTGTTTTTCCCACAACATAGTGAGGCAAGGCTTCTAAGAATCAATGAGTCCGTTTACAAATAATTATATATACTTCAAAAACTGTTAATGTTACAAAATCTATAAGGGTCTTTTAAGCCATCATAGAAGAAATGGTAACATTTAAGAGCAAAATTATTTCGACAAGAGTTCTTATTATAACATTACAGAACTAGGGAATGCACATCAGCAAGAGAAACTATGTATATTTACACTTCGTAATTGAAGAAGGTTCAAAAGTGGCATGCTGGAGAAAGAGGCGTAGACAGCATTAAGCTGAAAATAGCAGGGAAAATCAATCAGCGGGATGAAGAAGGCAGAGGACGCCAATTATCAGCAAGAAGCATGGCTCTGTCACGAGAAGAAGTGGACATCTGTCGAAGTATAACATACTTGACGTGATCAGCTGCTGTCTCACCAGCACGAGTGGCAAGTTCCAAATACACCACAGCTTTCATCATGTTACCTTCCTGCTCAAGGAACAACAAGAGTGATGATAAGTTCATAGACAAGCGAAAGAAATAAAAGGGAAAGAAAGAAAAAAGGAAAAAGAAGAGGAAGGTAGAGGTTATGCATCCCTTTTCTATATGAACCATTTGGAAATACAGACAACATTTTTTCCATGGACCTATTCATCCTCTGTTTAGTTATATGTGAAGGTATTTGACCGGGCACATAGTTTAATAAAGAAAAAAGAAATTCGAAACTTATGGCCTTAAACATGCCATGACAAAGTAAGGGTAAAATGGGAGATCTAAAGTAAATTGTTTTTAAATGTAGAAAGTTGCCGTTCTTTTTGGAACAACGTAAAAAAAAATGAAAGAGTGTAACATAAAATAGAACAGAGGGAGTTGTTTTTCATAATCTAGTCATGAAGAAGTTGGGAAGGGTTGGAGTAGTGCAGTGGGAGGATTTATGTAGGTTTTACTTACGGAAAATAGACTAAGTCCATTCTCAAACTGGGTTTTGCTATGACCTCGGTCAGCTGCTCTCTTCATCCATTTCCTTGCTAATTTATGAGACAGCGTTAGACCTTCTCCCACTGAGTAGCATATTGCAGTGCTATACATGGCACGGACATATCCACCTTCCGCTGCATTCAGATACCACCTTGCCTGCACTTCAAAAATTGGAAAATATTAAACATTATGAACCGCTTGCAGATCACTTTGACTAAAAAGTAGTATATGAAACTAGTGATGTTGCCCACAATTGGAATCAAAACCTTGCCCTTGAAAAATAAATGTGCCTGCAGGACCAAAGCACCCAGCGCTCGTTTTTCTCGATGGGTGCTCATGTATTCTTTATGTTAAATTTTTCTGGATGGGTGCTCGTGTATTCTTTATGTTAAATCTGTAAGGAGTTTCTACATAGTTATCAGGGTTTCGACTGAAGTTGGTGGGTGCACCCATAGTGGTACACGTGGATTCGTCCATGGCTGTGGAATCAGCCATTAATGCTTAAATCATGGTAGGCTGCCTACATCCAGGGGCAGATTTAGGGGGGCGTTCACCCGAACACCCTTCGCCGAAAAAATACACTGTATATATAAGGCAAAATCTGTTTTTTACCTCTATATATTAAGTTTTGAACACCCTTAACACAATCCAAAAGTGTAGTTTAGTGGTCAAGGGTGTTCAAAATCTACATAAAAGTCATGGGCTCAATTCCCACTAGCTACAAAAAGAATTTTTTGAACCCCCTTCGTGGAGATCCTGCCTCCGCCACTGCCTACATCATATTATTCACATCTTCTTGGAATGCAACCGTTCTCCAAATCATGTACATCGGGCTGCCCTTTTATTATCTCATTGGAATCCTTATCTACCAAAATTAACTGTTGAATCCTCCTTCCGGACAACACATACAAAAAGACCCACCAATAGTCAAATAATTGCTGAACCTTTGAGATAAGTAGATCTTATGATATTTCTATAAATTTTATTTCACTTCTATTTGTCTTTCTCCTATTAATCTAACTCTTTAGTCATTTTATTTGAGCAATTATGGCTTTAGATCGTCCCAAGATATAGAATAGATAAAATTGTAAATAAATGAATTCTTTTCATAACCCAAATTTTATTTTTTAGTTATCGATCATATTAAGACCGGCACCATAATGTCAAATCCAGGAGGAAGATCATAATTAGAAATTGATAAACATCATTGACCTTCCATCCCAGGATATGAAAGATGCAGAGAGATGCATCCATACCCTGGTTGACAGGGCTGTGTGGTCTACGCTTATTTAAATAACTACTAGTATCTATGAACGTTGCACATTAATAATGGCACGTGATGATTTAAATATTTATTTATACGAAGGATAATAAAATTCAATTAATGAGAGAAATTTTATGTATAATAATACAACAATCATCTAAATGCCGAAAATATTATTACATTAACACAATAAATGAATTTAAAATAAAAGAACATCATCAAAACTTACACAAATGATTAATTTTGTCATGTTAATTAGATAATTATATATTATAGTTTAAAAGTAATTAATGTGATGGTATCTTAACGAACACTTCTTTATGGACAATATTTTTTTATGTATGTTTCCTCCTAATGCGTTGGTTGCTCTGCCCTAACCGGAACTTTTGTTGTCGATCTTGATATCCCTCTTGAAAGTGCAACATACAGTTGTTCGTGCAAGAAAACATATTGCGGTAAATATAGTCTAATATTTAGGATGTTTGTCCTTATGCTTTATTTATTATATTTGCAAAACATAAACATACTAAAAATTATTTTCACACAAAATTTAAAAGGATATTCCTTAGTTTCGGAAGATGAAAAATTGAATTCAGGGATAAGAATATACGTAGAAGCACTTTAACCAGTATGATAATTTTTGTGTGTATGACGTTATTGTCAATATTTCTATATACCATCTATGTGCAATTACATAAGCTATTCGGCATGTCTAAGTTTTTCCATAGCATGACGGGCATATTTTTTCTCAAAATTAACCTATATACAATGGAAGTTCAATTTTAACTTAGTATATTATATATACGGTGACACTAACATGCGTAAGAAATAAGAAAATTGACAACAAACATGTATGGTAGAAGGCCATTTTGTATTAAAGTATTCTTCTTGGAAGTAATTATTGGTATAATTTTGTGTTGAGTGAAAAACTGAAAAATATTTTATTTTTACTATAAAATTTTGCAATCAACTTTTTATTTAGTTGATCAACATATTCATCTATGCTAACTAAGATATCTTTTTAATTCTATCATTTGATTTGCACAAATTGCGTTTTGATCTAATGATAGAAATATTCTCTTTTTAAATGCACTACTATTACCAGTGGGATTGATAACCAGGTGTTCAGGAAGAACCAAATCATCTTTTATTGGATTCTCTTCTTCCTTTCCCACATGAAGCAAGAAGACACTAAATGCTGGATCTGTTCTTACTTTATATTTCTTGTCAGTTGAATTATTTTGTTTGAGGCCAGAAGTATAACTTTGGCAAGCTAACTTGTACAGTCTCTACTTTTGTTGATTATGGAACTACTGATAGTACTTGACAGTCACCTCCCAAACTATTAATTTCCCACCAAATGGTTCATTAATATCCAATATATCTCTAGAACTTCGGATAATTATTCGATCATTTGACACTTAGCTATAAGTGCTTCATCTCATATTATCAATTTTGCTTTCCTTATAAATTTAGCACAATTGCATTTGTGATGGTTATTTAAGTTGGTTGAAGAGGTATATCAAATCTAAAGTGGGTGTGTAACGACCCGATCGGTCGTTTTGAGTTCTAGCACGTCGTTCAGCAGTTTGGGGCCATGAGCAGCTTCATTTCACGTATTATGACTTGTACGCATGGTTGGAATTGAATTCCGGGGAATTCGGAGTTGATTTGGAAAGGGAATTCTCATTTCGGATGCTTTAAGTTGAAAGAATTGACTAAGATTGGATTTCAGAGTAAAAAACCTCGGAATCGGGATCTGAAGGTTCCAGCATGTTCTTATGATGATTTTGGACTTGGGCGTATGCCCGGATCGGGTTTTGGATGACCCGGGAGCGTTTTGGCGCCTATTGTGGCAGTTAGCATTTTGGAAGAAATTTCATAAGTTTGGGTTGAAGTGCATTTCAGTATTATCGATGTTCGTTTGAGATTTCGAGTATGGCAGTAGCTCCGTATGGTGATTCTGGAGTTGGGAGCACGATCGGAAGTGAATTCGGAAGTCCGTAGGTCATTTTGAAGTCATTTGGCTAAAGATAGAAATTTGAAGGTTTTTGAGAAGTTTGACCGAGAGTTTGACTTTTTTATATCGGGGTCGGATTCCAATTCCGAAAGTTGGAGCAGGTCCGTAATGTCGAATAAGACTTGTGTTCAAAATTAGGTCAATCGGACGTGATTTGACGGGTTTCGGCATCGAATGTAGAAGTTTGAAATTTCAAAGTTCATAAAGTTTGGATTGGAGTACGATTCATGATTTCGACGTTGTTTGATGTGATTTGAGGCCTAGAGCGAGTTAGTATCATGTTTTGAGACATGTTGGTATAATTGGCTAAGGTCCCGAGGGCCTCGGGTGGATTTCGGAAGGTTAACAGAATGAATTTCGGACCAAAGAGTTGCTGAAATTTTCGGCAGAAAGCTGTTTTGAAAGCAACTAGTGCAATCGCGGAGCTGAATTTGGAAGCTTATATCTCAAAATCTATACGGAATATGAAAATTTGCAAAACATAAAAGTTGTTGCCCTTGCATTCTAGTTTCCAGAAAGTTAAACCATTCATGATTTGGACATTTTATCAGAAAGTTATGGTCGATTGAAGATGGCTGGTGGAGCAGTTTTGACAGAATTTTCTGATGCATGGAGCCGACTATAGAAGCTCATATCCCGGAATATATAAAGAGTTATATGGTGTTCAACTTATCAAATGAAAGATCTTCGAGTCTAGTTTCTAAATATTCAAACCTTTTGTCATTTGGATATTTTTACAAGGAGTTATGGACGTTTTAACCGAATGTGTACAGCAGGGAAAAATTATAATAGGATGTACAACCTGCAGAGCGCAAGGTACAACTCGATGATGCCTGGGCAGATTGTTTTAAACACGAGTTTTGGCCCATTTCTTTCATTTCTTTCATTTGGCTTGGACGATTTTGGAGAGCTCAAGGAGAAATTTTCACCAAGCAACACTAGGTAAGTGATTTCTTCCTATTTTTGAGTTAAATATATGATCTTACATGGATTTAGACATGAAAAATTAGTATATATTTGGGAGTTTTGGGGAAGACCTAGAATTTAGAATTTTGGACTTTTACCTTGAATTTGAGCATGAAATTAGAGCAAATTGTATATTTGAGTTAGTAAAGCTATGGGTAGAATTTATCTTCGAGAAATTTTGGAATCCGGGCACGTGGGCCCGAGAGCATTTTGGTCAACTTTTCGAGCGCATTTGGGAACTTATATAATTTGAATTGTTACAAGTATTAGAGTGAATTTTTATTGGTTTGCCCGTTGTTTGAAAAGTTTTGGGGCGTTTTGCATCAATTGGAGTCGTTGGAAGGGCTTGGAAGCCGGTTATGGAAATTTCGGAGCTAGGTGAGTCTCCTTTCTAACCTTGTAAGAAAGAATTGTCCCCATAGGTGAGTTAATTGGTTATGTGCTCCTATTTGTGGGGGCTGCGTACGCACGAGGTGACGAGAGTCCGTGCGTAGCTACTATCATGCTTATATTCGGGTAGTCTAGGACCCAAAATCATGTTTTACCTGTGATAATTGTAACCTTATTGATAGTTTAAATTGCTTAAATCATACCGAAGTGGCAAATGACTTTCTAAAAGAATTAAACTTCATCTTCTTGTCTTGTAAAAGAGAAATTTACATCTCCTTGAATAATTATTTCCCTGATGAAGTCTTCACTGACTGTTTGAATGTGTGTTTCTATGTGTACCTGCGTCGCATGTATGATTCGCGAGCAGGGTGATTGTTTATTTTTATTTGACCGCGTCGTATATATGATTCGCGAGCGCGGTAATAGATGTATCTATGGTTCACGCCATTCGACCCTCAGGCAGTGCACAGTTTAAACA